TCACCTAACATTGTTATCACTATTGTTCCTTTGGGTTCCGAGCGGAACATAGGGCTTCAACAGCAAGTCTCTATTTTAGTCCATTGTCTTTAGTCCCGTTTATCTGGCCTTAAGATTGTCTATAAGCCTTCATATCCTCCTCATCACACTATCTCCTCTATGTCACCCTCAGACCAATGCCCAACTCATTGTTTCCCTATCACCGTTCACTCGAGTGATGCTCTGGATCCAGATGCCCCTTAACGGTCTCCTCAGATTTGATTTTGATTTTTTCCTTCACGTTCCCAGTGGAACATAGGGCCTTAAGCTAGTGACTTGAAGTTTCGGTAGCAGTGTTTAATTTTACAGGATGGGGTTGCTAGCCTCATGCCCAACCTTTCCTCTTCACCAGCATTATTTCTGGCTTAGCGAGGTAAAGGAGTGCGTCGGTGGCCGGGGATCGAACCCCGGACCATGTGCATGTTCGGCGAGCGTCCTAACCGCTGTGCCACTGACGCACAACGGTCTCCTCAGCATATTGATAAAAGTCTGTAGCCACCAGAAGGAAATGTTTCTCGTGACGCGTTCACCAAGTTTCTCACCCATATAGAAGAACTGAATGACTGACTTAACATAGGTGTTGAAAATCCAGATTCTATTGTTTATGCTGAGTGCAATGCATTAGATTTCCAAATTGATATCAAAGTGATGAAGGTTTGTCTTGCCTTTCCGATTCTGGCTGGGTTTGAAATCGCCATTCGTGTTGTCGCCTGTAGCTGCAATGATGATGTCTAGATACCTGAAGGAATCTCATCTACCTTCTTCTAAATGTGACGATATAAGGCATAAAAACTTGGCTCACTAAGTGATGTTGTGATGAGAGCTGTCTGCTAGCCAAAATTGTAGACAATAATTTACATCAGTATTTACGTACCGAATCGGGATCATGAGAAAAAAAACAATAACAAAGCCTAACCTTGATAAACTCACCAACCAATCACAGCAGACTTAACGTGTGCCAATATGATTCGCAGATACATGGCTCAACTTTCTAGGAAACGGTCACAAGCAATACAGAATAAACTTCAACAAGAAAACAGCCAATCGAAAGACGTTGCTTCTACGCTAACAATAACGCTAATAATAATGTACACAAAAGTCTATAAATATCTCTTGATAAACATCTCAATAAACAATCTGTTGCCTGCCCCTTGTCTTCTGTCGTTGCCATGGATGCTTGGTCTTAAGTTAATACTGTCAGCCTGTCTATCAAGCATTCGCACACATTTTTCCGGCAACTTGATTAAATCATTGGGCTACCTAAATTTCCATCCAGGTGGATATTACACAAAATAACACAAAGATGGGACCATTCCATTAACGACTTTATATTTGTAACAGAGAATAGGCAGGCATCACACCTAATAACCAAAAAGATATTCACGTATAAGAATTCATATACACACTAGATAAGATAAGAAAGATACTCACTTTAACTGTACTACCAGGAACTCCAACTAAACCCAAACCACCTTCCTCCATTGGACAGGCGATTTCATGTCTCCAAGATTGTAATTCATTGTCGTGTATTATTTGTTCAGCTCCTTCAGCTTCATTTTTTAGAAAAGAAAAAAAAGTAACATCAAATAAAAGTGAGAATTAAGGCTGATTTCAGTGATTTAAGCGGTAGGCAACCATACCATATTGAAAACACAGGTGGTTCTCACCCGATCACCGAAGTTCAAGCAACGCTGGACCCGGTTAGTACCTACATGGCTGGCCGGTTGCGGATACCGGGCAGTTTTCTAGCTTTTGTGAGGGTGGTTCTGCGGCAGAACACTCGGCAACCATGGAAGGGGTCCGGGATTCGATTCGCAGCCGACACACTCCTGAATCTCGCTAAGCCGGTAGTGAGGCCGATAAAGAGGGAAGGTTCGGTATGAGAGTAGCTACCCAATCCCCCGTAAAAATGAGACCACAGCTACGGAAATTTCAAAGCTCTAGCATGGAGTCCTATGTTTCACTCAGAAAGTATCCTAATTTAACAAATTTTGCTTTTTAAGCATGATTATTGAGAAGTTTAGAAGTTGTTGACTTGGTAACCCTTTCTTTTCAGCTAATTTCTAAATGAATTCACAGTTGAAGAAGTCTACGATGAAGGCTTCACAACTAAACGACCTAGCTCAGAGAACGCAACAATATCGAAATCAATTATTATCTGAGCTATAAATCTTCCCCGAATCATGACAGGCCTCATATCAATATAAACGAGGAATACATCAATAAACCCTTAAATTCTTGACGAGGTTAACAACGGCTAATTTGTCAAGGATAAGAAAATCTCATATAACCGGTTCCCTTCATCATTTTAAACAACGAAAGAACAAATATATTTGCAGACGTATCTCATTTTCAAGACTGGCATATTATTTCCATTATTTCTTCAATGGGTAAGCCAGTAGTAAACAGTGAAGAAACATCGTTTTCCAATGGTTCTCTAACTGATGTCAACTCATGATGAAATCCTCCAACCAATCAAACAAAATCCCCACAAAACCAATACTTGAAAATTCATCTGATGCTCACTAGCGACTGGCCCTATTCAGGCAGTTACATGGGTTTTAGTGGGAAGCCGTGACCAGTAGGGTACAGCAGGTTGAAGGTGAGGCGCTAACTCACCGAAGAAGACATCGCGAATTGGTCGCGATATATCATGAATTGGCAGAAGTTGGAATTCATGGACTGGCTACTGGATCGGGTCCCAATGGCTTCATGGTCTGACAGCTCGCCTTGTAACCAGAAGGTCCTGGATTCGAACCATGGTGGTGGGTTCATACTGATGAAGAGTTCCAAACTAGGACGAAACGGCTGTTCAGTACTCCCAGGTTTTCCAATGGTTCTCTAACTGATGTATGACATAAGAAGTTTGTCTGAAACATTCAGTTAATCTAATTATTGTGAGAACTGGGAGGAATCTTTGACACTATGGACTGCCGACATTTTTGCCAACCATCTATCTAGTCAGTTTATGGCATAGTGATTTCACCATTGAGATTGTCGGTCTCAATGCCACATCAGAGATACGTGGACTAGGAAAAATCGCCTACTGCGCTGCATTTTAATGAGACAAATAAACCAAACAATCTCTTCAATACTAAAACACTGAAATTTTAGTGAGTGAAATCATTTGTTTACATTTGCACATGATAAACAACTATGTGATCACCCAAATGAGACAGCTACCTTTAAACACGGAATGAAATATTAGATCAGCTCAAAAAAGTTATCATTATTTGTGCAATTAAACTCCGTGTAATATTTGAAACAAACTATAACAAAGACATCGCGTCGATGGTTCAACGGTTGAATGATCCTAGGCTAACCACGCCTCACGTGGTCCGGGTTCGATTCCCGATCGACACACATCTACACCTCATTTAGTTTAATAGCAGGTAGTGAGTCAGGAAAAGGGAAGGATTGGGTGTGAGGCTAGTTACGTGGTATAATAGGGTGAGTAATGTTGAGGTTAGGTGTCGAGTGTTGGGTAAAGATAAAATTAGCCAATGAGATTGTGAAATTATATCGACTGACATGGTTAGAACATGTGTCACTCATGCGTAGCGATCGCCTTCCTCGACGGGCAATGTTAGCTGACATAGAATCAGGTTAAGAAAGCGGTTGATCAACCAAAACATGGAAACACCCTTGGAAGCTTTGACAATTAGTTTGAGCCAGCCATTAGGGAAGTGTAAACTGCTTGACTGGTTGTTGTCCTCGGGATTCTAAGAACTAATGACTGGAGACAATTGGTGGCACGGCTCGAAATAGTTCTCAGTAGTGCCGATTCATTCACTCTCCATGACCTTGTATATCCACTAAACCCTAGTGTTTTTCCATGTTACTACTCTTTCTCCCTTACATTTCAGCTTATAACTGTTCTTTCGAATCTCTTTTCCTCTCTTTTATCTTCCTTTGTGTGGTACATGGAGTATGGCAACTCGAACTGTAGCACTTCTGTGAAAAGTTTGACTGACTGACTGACTGTAGTAGGGAAGTAAGATGATGGTGGTGTGGGTGAAGGAGAATGATGCTCAGGAAGGCTTCGTGTGCCTTTGGAAGTGTGTGGGCGGTTGTTAGTGTTGCGTGACCACAGAGCCCAGGGGACAACTGCTTGAGGCCGGTCACACACGGCCTGTATGAACTGGTTTCTTGGTTTGGTTCCGTATTAGTAAACTTACCGCCGGTTACGGACCACCGTAGGGTAAGTCGGGATGTACAATTGTTGGGGTCGACCTTTTCTAACCCCCTCTCTCCAGAGTGGAGAGACAGCATAGCTGGCATGCTGGTCATCTGAGGGAAACACCTTACTGCTGTTACATCCCTGTTCCCCAGCAGTACGACTTCACCCACAGACCTCCAGCATAGTGTGAGAAAAATTCTTACGCTATTCCGGTAACTGCTTTTAGTCTAATCGCTATCCTAACAACCTTCCTGGGATGGTAGGACCTGCAGGAACATTGGTTCCAGCCAGTGTAGCTTGTTGGTGGGTCATTGAGATATGCAAGCCCGACCACCACGTCAAGGTAGCAGCTTTCGGTCGGGTCTATGCAAAATTCTACGTAGTGACCAGTCAATCAATCATACAGTTAGAATCTAGTAGCTCTAGCCCATACAAACAAACAATACCACATCAATAATCACTGGCTGACCACAGAATAAATAAACAAAAATGAACTACCACCAGTAAACAATATGAAACTTACGATAAAATAGGCGAACATAACTAGATACAAACTGTTCCAATGTATGATATATTAATAAGGCATCTTCACGATATGGATAATTGCCTAGGCCATTGGGATCGTACACCTGAAATATACATGTCAATATATTTACGTATTTTAAAAATATCACAAAGCATAAGTGGCTAGAAAGTTTCATGAACAAATTTCCTTTTGTGAACTTGAAAAAAAGAAGTAACAACAATAAATGTAGCAGGTTAAAACAAGACAGACCCACTTGATTTTGTTGATATCCTATTGACTACTTAAAATCTGGGTAATAGAAGTAGTTTTTATAAATGTTACTGTGCTGGCGGAAGAAAATCTAGTAAGGAAGACAACTTGCTACAAAAAATAGCATTCAAACTGCTGAAACAATCTGAATAGATATGAATATCTAACCTAATAATAATATGTTAATGTCTCCATAAACGACCTGGGTGAGAAGACTTCGATTTCCCCTCGGAAATGCCCCCGTATGATCATGCGTTCATAGCCTCTGTATGGTAAGTCGTATTTCATTGCCTTTAAGCGGCATAAGTGTTCCTCACACAAAAGATGGCAAATGCGAACGTCTGGCAGTTTTCTACCAGACTGGTGGAGATGCAAAATCCTGATTCTAAACCTATTAGTGTATTTGGTCTGCAGAATCTGAAAGGAACGAATGCCGTATGTAATTGTTTGAATTACCGCCAGTCATGGGACCGCAGCTTTTGACTCTGCTCTAATGCCTAATAGATCGAATTTCAAGCCAAAGGCTTGGGGAATGGCTTCTTAAGACAACCACCTGCTTTGATCTGTGAGTTCAGGCAGTATCCCAACCCTCACATAACCTATGAAAATTTGTGTAGCGCATCTTTTGGTGCCCGTAATGTAGCAAGTTTGTACTTTAATATCAATAATAATAATAATACTGTGAAATTTTCAATAGTTGGTTTGTAAGGATTAGATTTGTTTATACGAGTTGATCACGAATTGATATCAGTTAGAGAACCATTGAAAACCAGCAGGGAGTACTGGACAGCTATTTCGTCCTAGTTTGGGAATCATCAATAGTACGCACCCACCCACCAGGGTTCGAACCCAGGACCTTCCGATGATTGCAAAACTAGGATGAAACAGCTGTTCAGTACTCCCTGGTTTTCAATGGTTCTCTAACTGATAACAATCGGTGGTCAACTTGTAAATACTGTGAAAACAAATCACGCTGATATGACTTTAGGTGTAGTTATTTAACCGTAACAATAATAAATACTTCCACGAGTACACTAGTATAAAGCCTTAGTACCTGAAGAAATCACCACTAAGATTCAGTTTTTGAGATTTACATTACCAATGAAAGGACGTTGGGCCATTGAAAACTGATATTCACACATAAACATTATTTGATCATAGATTGGAACATTTCGAATTAGATGCTACACTACACATGTGTACAGTAGGACCCTGAATTTCGAACATTTTGGACAGACAGACCGCCAAGAACAGTTAATTGATTGATGACTAACGACAATGATGAACCCGGATTAGTCAAACAATTGTTCGATGGACGACAAACAATAAATATAATGATAAATAAAATAAAATGGTCATACACTAAACTGTAAGCTTAGTGTAAAAACCAAACCAAATAATACTAATAATGATAATCAAAAGAAGGGATTCAGCGAAGAGACTCTTTTCAACGAATTTATCACCAAGCTGTACAATCGTAAACATATATGGTTTTTAAGAAGTTATATCCGGTGAGGGAATTGAATCATAGGTGTGAATGCGTAAAGTAATAATAATAATAGTATGAAATGCAATTAAAACTAAAATGTTTGTGATTATAATCATCGTTAAATGCAAAGTGGCAAAACAATTAATGTCATACATAGAATAATTCATAGGATGGATAGAACTTGAAAAAGGGAGATCGATGATCACCCTATCTCTATAGCCTCCGCCTTTAAAGTCATCTACAAGGCACAGAGTAATTTACCCAAATCCCTACGTACCTGTATTGCTGAAGCTTTGGCTATCGAAACAGAAAAGCTAGATCTCTGTGTACAGAAAAAGTTCGTTCAACCCCTCCAACTTTCATGGTCTTAATCCCTCTATGCTAAAGTATGGTAATCCCTAATCATATTTTGGCTCTATCAATTTTTCATTTTGTCTATTCAATTTGTGTACTCTTCCTTTATTACGTCGATTGTTACTATTACTATTCTCACTTTGAACTGTCCTCGGCATTATTTCACTTGTTCCACTTGTCATTCTAAATCAATTCTTTTTTACAACGTTAAATTCTATGCTATCAAATTTCACACAATATTGCGTAACGTTTTCATTTTATTCGATTTGTCTACTAATCCTATAATTGCACATCGTTTCCAAGTTCTATCCATCCTATGAATTATTCTATATATGATATTAATTTGTTTTGCCACTTGACATTTACCTATGATTACAATCACAAACATTTTAATATATGTGTAAAACTTGGGCACTGTGGTAGTAAGTAATTCCATATTAGTTTGTTTATTAGGTATATCACACAGTGAAACAGTATTATTTACTGGATGACGTTTCGAACAAAATTTATTGTTCATAATCATATCAATTGTGATCACACGACTTTGACACTTGAGTTTTATAGCTTTCTTTGTTTTCTCCTATTTGTCGTATGGGTAGTAGAATTTTCCAGATATCGGGGACAGGTGATGAATCATTCCTATTACATGTATTTGTAGTTGATTCGATAAACAAAGCTTCTGTTATCAATCTCTCCCTATACCCTGTGACATTAGATTTTAAAACTGTCATCCTATCCCAGTTTTAAAATCTAATGTCACAGGGTATAGGGAGAGATTGATAACAGAAGCTTTGTTTATCGAATCAACTACAAATACATGTAATAGGAATGATTCATCACCTGTCCCCGATATTTGGAAAATTCTACTACCCATACGACAAATAGGAGAAAACAAAGAAAGCTATAAAACTCAAGTGTCAAAGTCGTGTGATCACAATTGATATGATTATGAACAATAAATTTTGTTCGAAACGTCATCCAGTAAATAATACTGTTTCACTGTGTGATATACCTAATAAACAAACTAATATGGAATCACAAACATTTTAGTTTTACTTGCATTTCATACTACTATTATTATTTTATGCATTCACACCTATGATTCAATTCCCTCACCGGATATAACTTCTTAAAAAAAAACCATATATATACGATTGTACAGCTTGATGATAAATTCGTTGAAAAGAGTCTCTTTGCTGAATCACTTGTTTTGATTTTCTATATGTTACAATGGGAATTTTCCATGAGAATAATGATAATAACGGTGTTAAGTAAGCTAGGTGAAGAGGATCAGTCACAGGAGGAGTTCCTGTGACCTTATTGACAAAGATAATGAATATACCCTTTTTGCAAACATAGGTTAGATTTGCTCTTATTGATCCCTATACCGTCAGATGTCACTGGGAGATGTTAACTTGTACCTTTAAGTAGATTGTTTGGCAATCGACAGACGACTATGAATGATTCACCCATTTTTGATGCGATGTTCACTATTCACTATTTATTGACTTGGTTACTCCTTTCCAAGCCACACTGAAATATGTTCACAGGTGACTAAGGATAAATTTCTCTGAGTATATGCAGTTTATATAACTAGCTTCACATGAGCAACTAGACTTATATACGACATATTGATGTGCCCATCAATGGTAACTTATCTTTAATGCACTGTGTCAGTATACGCCTGGTTGAGTGACTGATGTCTACTTAACATAATCAATCTGAGTGTCAGCCGTTTTCGCCAAAATTTTCAAGTGTTTGTTCGTAGGGATTTGATTTGTTTCAAGTCTGACCACGGCTTGATATCAGTCAGAGGACCATCGAAAAGCTCCAGGGAGTACTGGACAGATGTTTCATCCCAGTTCGGGAACCAACGTCAGTATGAACCCAGGAATTTCCAGCTCACAAAGCAGGCTCGTAGACCTAAAGTCATATCAGCGTGATTTGTTTTCACAGTATTTACGAGTTGATCACGGATTGTAATCAGTTAGAGAACCATTGAAAACAAGCAGAGAGTAATGGACAGCTGTTTCATCCTAGCTTGGGAATCATCATCAGTATGCACCCACTAGAGTTCGAATCTAGGACCTTCCGGTTACAAGGCAAGCTCGTATACCATTCAGCCACTGGGACCCGATTCACTAGCAAGTTCATGTACTCTAACTCCTACCAATTCGTGATTGCAGCGTGGCTGACCATTAGTCAATGTCACCGGCGAGTATTTTTTCGCACTGACGACTAGGTGGCCTTCACTGGTCACAACTTCTAACTAGAACTCAAGGCAACTTCGTTCTGCCGCCAGTCACTAACGTCCATCAGATTATCTTAATGAATACTTGCCGATAACATTAACTAGTAGTCAGTCGCGCTAAAATCACGAATTGGTAGAAGTTAGAATACATGAACTGGCTATTGGATTGGGTTTCAGTGGCTGAATGGTATACGAAGCTTCGAAACATGGTCAGTGGGTGCGTACTGCTGAAGAGCCCTGAGCACTAAGATGAAACAGCTGTACAGTACTCCCTGGCGGTTTTCAATGTTTCTCTAACTGATAACAATCCGTAATCAAACTTGAAATGCCAAATTGCCCTTTAGATAAGGGTAACCTTATTAATCAACATTATCACATCATCAACATCAATTGAAGTAAGTTTCATATAGCGTAATAACAGTGTAAGGAAAACAACAGCATAATACTAAGTAGTGTTATGATATAAATGATATAAAATTCATTAAAATGTAAGTTATATTTACCCCTCTAGACTCCAATTCACGATAAATATTTGCATTAACATCGAAACGCCATTTCTTAAATGCTCGTCTTAATAACTGTTTAATGCCTTTGCGTGATAGCTGTATGTTACGCGATATCCAACCATTTTCAAAGGTCCATTCTTTTAATTTCCTTCAAAATTAAGAGAAATATATATATAATTTACGTATACTGATGATATATAATCATACAAATAAAGAATAATACCATTAGTAATAATTTACTTTATTGCAAAACAGTACTTAAGATACCATTATAAATTACAAATAAGAGAAGATTAAAGAGCCATTTATTTTACTAATTACATAATAACTTATAAGTTTCACGCTTAAAACCTCCTCTATTATATAGAACGCAGGCCAAATAGAGTGTCGTTGAATTTTCGTACTTACTTGTGCGAGCATATAATCTCCTATGCTGACTTCTAATCCTACCTGATGAGATGGAAGATGAGAGGTGTGTCAATAAACGGGGTTCTGAGAGTCAAACAATACGGATTTAGCCCATTTCTCGCATGAATTCAAGTGCCTGTCGACTACAGGTAGTAACTAGCTGACTTAGTGGAACACCGTTTGCTCTATTGATAACCTTTAATACCCTTCGTTATATGATATAGTCTTTTTGAGTGCCTAAGGGGTGCGAAGTAATTTGGAAACTACTCGAGTACTACGGCGTAACCCAAATATTCATCAACCTTATTCAACAGCTGTACGACAACGGAACATGTCAAGTGATCCACAACGGAAAACTCAGCTAGGCTTTTGGAGTAAACACAGGAGTCAGACGAGAGTGCTTATTATCACCAATGATATTCCTAATTTGTGGTTGACTGGATTATGCGTCAGATAGTGGGAAACGAGAAGACAGGGATATCCTCGACCGACATGAAGAATCTAGAAGACCTGGATTTCGCGCGTGGATGATTTATGTTTGATGTCACACAAAATCGAAGACTTACAAGCGAAAACCGATAAACTGGTTGAAGAAGCAGCAAAGACAGGACTGACTCCAGGTGAACATAGACAATACGGAGGTTATGAAAATAACCACCAACAACAACAACAACAACAGCAACATCACCAGTGCCAATCACCATCAACGGGAGGGATTTGAAAGAGGTTACTTCTTTCACTTATCTAGGGAGCATTGTCTCAACTACAGGAGGAACGGACGAGGATGTCAAATCGAGCGAGAATCGGGAAGGCGAGAAACACATTCATCAACCTGAAACCAATCTGGAAATCTTCGTCACTCAACTCAGCATCAACAACAAAATTCGGATTTTCAATACAAACGTCAAGTCAGTTAGTTCTTCTATACGGATCAGAAACTTGACCAGTGTGTCACAAAGAATATTTCCAACAACCTGTTGCAGAACTTTATCAACAACTGTCTTCGCTCTATACTGAAGACCAGATGGCCGGAAAGAATCACCAACAAGAAGCTATGGGAGCAAACAAAACAAGAACCAATCGCTCAACAAATATGCAGGAGAAAGTGGAGATGGATTGGACAATCGCTGAGGAGGCCGCTGGGTGACATCGCGAGTCAGGCCATAGCTCTAGTGGAACCCGAAAGGGAAGCGGCGAGTGGGTCGTCAATGCTAGGGTGACATGGAGGAGATCGTATGAAGAGGATTTGAAACAGTATGGATTAACATGGATGCAGGTGAAAAGTACATCAGAAGACAGAAGCAAATGGAGACGTGTAGTTGAAGCCCTATGTTCCACTAGGAACCCAAGGGAACAATAATAATAATAATAAGGGGTGCGATAAAGAATAGTAATAACAATATTAATAATAAGCGCAAAGAGGAACAATCAATATATGTGAGGTTTTCAAGTATTGGTTTTGTAGGGACATTTTTATTTGATTGTCTGGAGGTGGGTGCGTACTGATGAAGAGTTCCAAACTAGGCTGACGAAACAGCGGTCCAGTACTCCCTGCAGGTTTTCCAATGGTTCTCGAACTGATGTCAGCTCATGATGAAATCCTCTAACCAATATGTGAAGTTTATTTACATATCAAGCATGGATTATATTGCTCAATACATAGGCTTGTAACAGACCATCAAATTGCTGTTATATGGTATGCAAATGCATTTCAATTGTTTTACGAGTTGATCACGGATTGGTATCAGTTAGAGAACCATTGAAAACCACCAGGGAGTACTGGACAGCTGTTTCATCCTAGTTCTTCTGGGAATCATCGCCAGTAAGCACCCACCACCAGGGTTCGAACCCAGGACCTTCCGGTTACAAGGAAAGCTCGTATACCATAAAGCCACTGGGACCCGATTCAATGGCCAACCCATGAATTCTTACTTCTACCAATTCGTGATTTAGCGCCACCCAAACCATTGTCGTTGGTGGAACATCCATCCACACACGTGACATCTAACTGGACCTCACTGGTCACGACTTCTCACTAGAACTCCAGGAAACTTCATACTGTAGCAAGTCACTAGCGAGCGTTAGGATGCACCTGCAGAAATATTCCTACTTCTGACTCGAGGTCTGAACTTCGCCGACGAGAAGATCTATAGGAAAAATTCAACAAGTGAGGAGCAGAAGAAGAAGAAGCAAAGACAAGGCTTCAGGTGAACATAAAGAAGACGGAGGTGATGACAACAACCAACAACAACAACAGCAAGCACCCATCACTATCGACGGAAGAAATTTCAAAGAGATCACTTTCTTCACTTATCTGGCCAGGTAGCATCGTTTCAGAGACAAGCTGCACAGATGAAGATGTCTAAACCAGAATTGGAAGGGTAAGACAGACCTTCGTCATTCTGAAATCAGTTTGAAATCTAATGCACTACACTCAGCATAAAATTAAAAGAATCCGGATATTTAACACCAACGTCAAGTCAGTCATTCAATTCTTCTATATGGTTCACAAACCTGGCGAACGTGTCACGAAAAGCATTTCAAACTGGTGGTCTTAGACTTATATCAACAGCCGCCCACTTCGCTGGCTCCGTACACAACATTAGATGACTGACCAGAAAGAATTAGCGACAAAAAACTCTGAAAACGAACCATCCAACAAAGTATTGCTCAACATATATCCCGAAAGAAATGAAGACAGACCGGACACACGCTGAGGAGACCGTTGGGTGACACGGAGCACTAGACAAACCCTCGAGTGGAACCCAAATGGGAAGCGACAAGTTGGGTATTTGTCCAAGAGTGACATGGAGGAGATCGTGTGAGGAGGAGATAAAGGTTTATTCATGTTATTTTAAGTTTTTCTGAATCCCTGTCTACACTACCATATTTTCATATCCACACTTCCTGTTTATTCATGTTATTTTACTATTTCTACATGTTTAATCCCTGATTGCATAAACAATTATTCATCACATTAGTTTTTTATCCAAACATCCTGTATATTTTGTTATTTCTACATTTCTAACCCCCAATTGCACAATGTCAATCTTCTTAGTTATTATGCTACTTTGTTTGAGTTTTACCCATCCCCCCTGTTTGTTATGTCATTTTAATTCCTAATTGTAATTTTTATTAATTTGACCCCTAACAGGAAATTATTCTGGAACTTTCCCACCCATTTACTATAAATACACGAATGTACAGCCTAGATGATGACTTCGTCGAAAAGAAAAGTTTTTTCGCTGCAACTGTCTTTTTATTCCCTATGGTCAAATGTGTATACTCCGTGAGATAAAGGTTTATGGGCGATCGTGGGACCAACTGAAGAGGACCGCAGAGAATAAGACAAAATGGAAGCGTGCTTTTGAAGCGCTATGTTCCACTCGGAACCGAATGGAATACCTATAATAAATGTAGCAATAAGTACACTAGGGGGGACGCGTAGGAGAATGACTTCCATTTGTTTTCTGAAAATACAACAAAGCTAAGCTTTCGAAGAAGCAAGCATTTGAATGATGCAATCATTAGATATGTCGCGGATATGGAATATGCTGTTGACCTCAAAGACATTTTTAACAGGGTTTAGCATTCATGGGTCACTAGATTCCGACCTATTATTTAGTTGAACGGTTAACAGGCTGAACTGGGTTCCTTGGTGTACACTACTGAAGAACCCAAAACTAGGACGAAACAGCTGTTCAGTGCTCATTTGGTTTCTAAACTGATATCTTTACTGGAACTGTTCAATGTGCAGCAAATGCTGAAATTAACACACTCCATGGGAGCAAACGGACTTATTCATACAAAAATGTGAGTGTGGGTAATATTAAGCCGTATTGGTATCTTTCTACTATTTTTGTTTTACTCGTTTACTCATTTCACCTCATTGAGTTGATTTCAATCTTAAGAATTTCGTTTATTTTCCGATATGTTACGCAATCTTTTAAGCTGATATAAGTTATTGTTCCCCTGCATCTTTTCTTTCATTACGTAATTTTCGAAAATATTATATAAATAAATAGGAAGTGATTCAAGTTAAAAATTTTAATTCTAACATTTCTTGAGCTATTATTATTTCAACCTCCATTTTATTCATTTATTTATATATCTCATTTCTTTTGCATTATTTTATTGTTTTATGAAACAAACTGACACCACACTGAAGTAGTTTGGTGAATGGTGGGTGACTACCGATGGAATCAAGGAGACGCATTTCGTCCTATTTCGGACTCGCCATCTGAATGTACTTGCATTCCCCAATGGAGTGAGTGATGGTGTTCCCAATGACTCGAACCCGGCGCAGCGCCCGTCGCTTCAAACGGCAAATTGTTACCCATCAGACCACTTGGGCCACGAGAACCACCTCTTCTGTACTGGATGTCAGTTACTACTTGTTTTTCAATTCAATTTTGATTTTCCAGTTGATTGATTGAACCGAATTGTCGACATATCGGCTCCTAGTGCAGACGCTTCGACTATGTTCGAGGATTGTAAATAATAACTGATTTCCGTTGAACAAGAGGTGGTTCTCTTGGCCTAAAGGGTCTAGTGGATAACGCCTTGGCCTTTGAAACGATGGGTAATGGGTCCGAATCTCATCACTCACCCATTAGGGAATGCAAGTACATCCAGTTGACGAGTCCCTGACAGGACGAAATGTACATCCTGGATCCCACTGTCAGTCACCATTCACAACGTTACTTCGACTTAATCATCAGACATTCTGGAAGTGTCCGAAATAGGGACCGACATATCAACTGAGGCCGAGTATTTAGGTCCGAAATTGAATTAAAATAAAATGACGCCATACTGTGTCACAAATCTGATCTGTCCTACTTCTTTTAACATATTTATTCCAGGGGAATCATCTATACCAAACTTTAATTCCTCAAAAGCAATGCGCATAGAATTACCTTGTTACCGGCAGTATACTACGAAAATGCGGTGCAACCAAATGGTAAATTGGATGTGATTGTGACATGTTACGTCGTAGTGAAACATAAACTGACTCCAATATTAAATGAGTTAGCAAACGGCCAACAATCATATGATGACATGCATCGGCTAAATTCACCCACAGTTTTGCTTGTAACCAAATTGAAGCTGGATCAGTTGGAAGGATAATCTGAAATCAAAAGAAAAATGAACACCACGATTATAAGGCATAGTCAGCTTTTCTTTTTGAAGTGGTGCTACTTGTTTTATCCGGTGGGTATTAAGACCAAAATTTACCAGCATGATTTCGTGAAAATTCAGTAATGTACGTTTAGTTACAGGATTTCATCATGAGCTGACATCGGTTAGAGAACCATTGGAAAACCACCAGAGATTATTGGACAACCGTTTCGTCCTAGTTTGGGAATCTTTATCAGTACGCACCCACCGGCTGGGGTTCGAACCCAGGACCTTCCGGTTACGAAGCGAGCTCGCAAACTATTCAGCCACCGGGACCCAACCCAATAATCCAATGGTGCGTACTGTTGAAGAGTCCCAAACTGGGCTGACGAAACAGCTGTCCAGTACTCCCTGCAGGTTTTCCAATGGTTCTCTAACCGATGTCAGCTCACGATAAAATCATGTAAACAATCAATCAAATCCCTACAATCCAATACTTTAATATACGTTTAACTTTTGAACTTACTGACTCATTTAATCCATTACATTGCGCAGATATCAATATCAAGCGATATTTTCTGACACAACTGCAGCAAATGTAATGTAGTTGGGCTACATTACATTGCCAATATTAGGTATGTCAGAAAAACGTTTTTAGTGCAAAGTTTCATTAAAAAGGCATACAAAAGGTATAACTTGTCATTAAACCATCATAACAAAGCACTAAGGCGCTACAATTACCGGGGATATGCAATAAAGCCACTCAAACGAACACATGGTAGATATTGCAGTTGTAGAAACACAGCATGTTTTAGCCATCGTCATCAAGTGTAATCAAAAAAAATAAATAAAATATTAAAACGTCCATTCCATAGCGCATTAATTAAGAAGGTTGCTGTCCTTTCTCCTTTTCTGTTTTCTTTCTTCTTGCATGACTTGCCTCACTCTGATGATGAAATGAACTTTGTTATGTATGCGGACGATCTAACTATTCCAATGTCTGTTAACTCCCAGCTAGACTGTACTAAGATGAACAGCTTTCTATCAGGAGTTAGCAAATGGTCTTCGTCTAATGGCCTTAAACTAAATCCTTCCAAATGTCAGACTGTTAATTTCAGTTTCCGATGTAAAAGAAAGTTAAATGAAGCTGTTGGTTCCTATGACCGTTGCAAAATTGATGATACTGATATAGAAACCAAGTCTGAAGTTAAGTATCTTCGATTAATTCTTTCTTCTGACCTATCCTAATCTTCCCATGTCTTAGAGATTTCTAAAACAATATTTCGTCTCACTTTTTACATTACGAAACTAAGGCACTCAGGTAAAACTCAACTGCTCCTCCTACAGTTTGTCAACTCTTGCATCCTAGCTATTCTTTTTTACTGTTCACCGTTATTCTTTCCTGGATTGCTTAAAAAAGATTATGTCATACTTCGTAGAACTCTATAGACTGTCAGTAGGGCGAGTGGTATCCCATTAGGCCTCATCGTTGACATTGTCACTGATAGGCACCTGATGCCATGCAATAAATTTGCTAAAGGAATTTTGTCAGACTGTGAGCATCCACCGCATAACCCGCAGCTCCACTCTTGTGTCTCCTCTGATAAAACAAGAAGTCTGTCCAGAAGACTTTATGCACGTGCGTCTATGTATGAAAATTCCAATATACCATATTTGGCACGTACTTTATGTGATGAAAATAGTGTTAGGCATGAACTAATTGACTTTCTTTGCACTACTAAATAAACCATTTCCTCTACCTTTACAACATCAAACTTTATTTCTATTGTATTTCTTATATTTATAGTCCTCTCAATTTTTTGATTTTGTTTATTTTTTTCATAAGTGTAAACATCGTTTAAGGTGTGTTATAACTGTTAATATTCTCAATTCGTACTTCAAATATTTTTGACTTTATATCGTAAACGTGGACAAATTCCTCTGGTTAATTTTGTTTTAATTTTATTTATATTTCGAGTAAATCAGATGCAATATTGTGACAAATGCTGAGAATTCCATTCTGTATTATAAGTACTGTTTTTGGAATAAAGTAGATTATTATTATTAATGTTTAGAAAAAACCCTCTTTAGATGGAACACTTCTTCTTTCCCATTCCTTTGAGTTCTTAGTAGACGAAACAGTTTCAAACGCTTCAATTTTCAATAGTGGTGGTGTTGTTTATTACTGTCTGGGGTCAGTAGTCTCATATCCATCCTTTCCTACTCATAGGACTTATTACGTGTTATGACGGCACTGACTTAAATAACCGCATGATGCAGTGTCACTGTTTCTGTGCCTGTCGTCTGTCTTGACTATAATGTGCAGTTGCAGACACAGCATTATGGCCGACTGATCACTTCAAAATACTCCGCATCCTGAGATAGACAAAAAAGTCAGATTTAACTGCTACAACGACGATAGCTGTGATAACAATTTTACCTATTCAAAACACAGGGTATATATATATATACGTATATATATATGGTGTTTGAAAGCTGTAAGAATGGAAAGCAACAGTTTAAAGACATTAAGTTTAAAATCGTCTAGACAAAATGGAAGAAGACAAAGAGGAAGACAGACATCTAGAGGGGTTAATATTTAGCCCAATGATAATGATAATGAAAGGGACAACGTCTGAACGTATTCTTTCTTTCCACGGAGTGCTCTGACTGGGCCAATCTTATTGTTGACTATAGGTAGAAAACGTGGACAGACAGCACGTGATATACAGAACTAAAGGCATCCATATGGCAGAATTAAGTTTTTACAGATTTACTTTTTCTTTTTTCGAACCAGACTGGCAAATGTTCACAAATCCGTCGACGAACCTGCTTAATAGCGCGTCTTATGTAACTTGATCTTGGAAACGATATATACATAGGAAGGAGTTTATAATAGATAAGTAGTCTCTAAGTTTCAAGGTGAACCGTCGACATCTCTCGAAGGAGATAAACAGATGTCTGCTGTAGAATGTTCACTTTATTGTTCTGGTTAGACATCGGGATAAAACCTCCATATCTCTCTTAAAAGTGTAGGCGCATTAAGGACATCAAAAGTGACAGTCTGATTGTGGTGAGAGCTGTCTGCAAGCCAAAATTGTAGACAACAATTTACGTCAATGTTTATGTCCCGAATCGGGGTCATGAGAAAAAACAATAACAAAGCTTAACCTTGAGGAGCTCACCAATCAATCACAGCAGACTTAACGTGGGCAAATACGATTCGCAGATATATGGCTTAACTTTCTAAGAAACAGTCACAAGCAATACAGAATAACCTTGAGCAAGAAAGCAACCAATCAGAAGACGTTGCTTCTCTGCTAACAATAACGCTAATAATAATGTACATAAAATCTATAAATATCTGTTGATTTTCTCAAAAAACGATCAGTTGCCTGGCCCTTATGTACTGTCGTTACACTAAAACTGCCAATAAACAGATAGATAGATAGACAGCCTCACAGGCCCTATCAAAATGGGACCCTAATATCTCTTAGAAAAGTTCACATGCAGATACTGAGACACAAAGCCCAGTGGCAAATAACACGGCATAAAGTAAGGAAAATATGGATGATTTGGATTAGAACGCAATAATATCTCAACTAAACAAAATACATTCAGCTATCAAATTCATGTTTGAAGAAAAATTCTTCAGTAAAATTTCCTTTTTAGACGTCCTACTGACAAGAAGACCAGCCGGTAGTTGATATGATTCCCAAACTGAAAGATGAAGTACCTAAGCTAGCCACCTCTTATTGTATCCATCAATTCGACCGCTCCTGTGCAGCCAGTTATGATAGCTTTCGTCCTACGAACCTGATTTTTTGTGCATGGGAACACCTATCAGTATTCCTAAATAGAAGTGTTGTTAAAAACATCAGTTCGACATTAGATCACCTCGTCCAAGCAGGCCCCACACGACTAGCAGCAGAGAAGAGGCTTCCTCCGTTATCTATCAGGTATCGAATAAATTACCAAAGGCTTCTAGATACTGAACACTTTCAAAAGAAGAGGTCATTGCGATTTGCTTTAATCAACCAGAGCTCTACGTGCAAAAGAAAAAGGTCCAGCCAGCTCCAACAGCTACCTTGGTTTGCTGTCCAACCCATAAATTCACAAATTCTGTGTGTTACTTCCCTCAATTTATCTGATATTCAGTCAGTTTAGTGTTATGTGTGATGCATATTATCTCTCTTACTGATGCTTCTCAAAATCTAATCTAGTGACACTAATGACTCAATATTTTAATTATTACTGTCGTATATAAGCGTAGAACCTGATGATGAATACAAATTGCGTACAAGGAAATTACTTACCGCACTGGTATCATTCGAATTACGATCCAACTGAATTGCAATCGGTTTCAATTGTCTTTTCTCTGTATAAAAGAAAATAGCCAAAGGTGCACACAATTCTCGACCACGTTTACAACTCAGCCCTTCCATTATGTGAAAATCAAGTATGTACAAACGATTAGCCGATACCATTTGACGCAGAGTCCAACCTTCCAGATGAGGCTTCAACCAATTCGCGGCTAGCTGGAAACTACAAAAAAAAAGTTGACAAGAAGAAGAAAGTAGATATAAGTAAAAAGGAAGAAAACTCCATGTATGTGCGCGTATTCATGCATCACCACCTACGAGAGTTTGTGAAAACAACACAACACTCTAGGACTATCGATATATACAATTATTTGAAAAGTTGTAGGTAACGTAACTATACTATCCATATGCAACGGGAGAAGGAATTAGAATTGGGAACAGACCTTTAATAATGAAAAACACATCATATTTATACACTTTTAGTTACATTAAAGTTCGGCTAGGCCAGAGGAGAATAATAAATTTTTCTGATTGGTTGACGTCTGGCCCGGCCCAAGGTCAAACAAGACTGTCCAATGAGGTTATTTCGCTGAGGTTCAGCAATAGAGTCCTAGGAGTGTGAACGCTCTAATGACCTTGAACGCCCACTAGTCGTTGGCTAACGGCACCTGTCATTATCATAATTGAAATATCAACGCTATTCACCAACTTAGGAGCAAATTTCACCCAGGTCACGTTTTTAAGTACTGTTTGGACAATGTGTTAATAGCTCGTTAGAGTTAGGATTAGGGTTAAGATAAGTATTGGGGTTAGGGTTAGGATCAGGGTCATAATTAGGATTAGGGTTAGGTTTACGGTTAGGATAAGGGTTGTAATTAGGGTTAGTGTTAAGTCTAGGGTTAGGGTTACGATTAGGGATAGATTTAGAGTTGATGTCATTTTATTTTTATTTGTTTTCTTATCCACATTTTCCTGGTAAGCGGTCGTCTATCCTCTTACTGCACCACCATAGTAATTCAACCGAGGGCTTTTGGGAAAGATCGCACATGAGGATAAGAAAGAAAAACGATTCACAAAAACAGCTCATCTTCAGTCACTTCGGTGAACACATGTAGAGAAACTAGTCTAAATTCAGCAACTGATACTCATCATAATAACTGGGACGTATTTTTGAATCATTTCAGAGAAAAACACCCTGTCTAATGTGTTTTCATGCATTTTCTTGTAAATATACGTCAATTTTTGTGCAAAAATTCCTCATTTTTATGATTGGTCGGCTCAAGATCACTCGTGCATTTGCATCATTGGGACGCTATTGTTGAACTTTGCCGTTATTTCATGTCCACAACACTCCTACCTCTGCAGCCATTGACTTTAATGTTGGTTTCAGTTTTGGCTGCTTCCTGTGAATCTGTATCACGTCACACAACATTGACTTCATTCACAATGTAAGCTAGAACAGTTGGAATGTTTGGTCATCTCAAACATAGCTATCTAAGCCTTCATTGTGAGTAATACACCTTCGTGAAAACAATAAACACGATTTAATGGTGAATAAGTTTAGAAAATTCGTGTCGATGACTTTGCAGTAGAACACTCGCCGACCACGCATGTAGTCCGGGGTTCGATACCAGAGAGACGCACTCCTTTACCTCGTTAAGTCGGTAATAAGACAGGTTAAGAGGGGAGGTTGTATATGAGGATAACAACCCCATCCCGTAAAAGTAAACACTGCTACTGAAACTTCAAAACTCTAGTTTGAAGCCCTATGTTCCACTGGGAACGTAAAGGAATCTTTATTTAAAAGTTTTGAAAATGAGCATCATTCTATTTGCGATTATTTCCCCATAACCATTTGGCATTTAGTTGTTTTATCAATTATACTACTTTTAAGTAGTTCAAATAAAATCCCAAAAAAACCAACAAATTTATATGTAACTCCACTTCGGACTGCGTGTTAACACCTGTTAAAAGAACATTTCTAAATACAACCTACTTCCGTATACATACTAGGTAGTGAGTTTATTCTTCGATCTCAGGACGTAAAAATTACATCATCAGAAGACTGATAAAAAATATATGTATTTTTAAGCATTTCATATGTGAAAAGTGCCAACCTTCCAAAGAGAATAATCGATATAGTTATAGACACGTGGATCTTATCAACCCATTATTCTTATTGCACAGAAGTATGCTTGAAGTCGAAAGTGGTTCTCCAATCATATCACCTACTAAAATAAATACTAATCTCATGTACATCTTAACGAGCAATCTGACTGACTGACTGACTCACTGGTTTCAACATAGAACTTCGCACAGAAGTGCAACAGTTCAAATTGCCACACTCCATGTACCACATAAAGGAAGATAAAAGAGATAAAAACGAAAAGAGATTCGGAAGAACAACAATAAACACAAATGTGAAGGGAAAAGAATAGTAACATGAAAAAACAACAAGGCTCAATAAATACATGAGGTGACAGGGTGAATGCATCTGTGTCATTGAGAACGATTTGGACCGATTGTCTCCAGCCATTGGTTCTTATCCACCTGATGACCCCGATCAGGAAGTGTACGTCTCCTTGTATGGTTAAAACTGACTGTTAAAGATTTTATGCACTGGTTCCAAATTTTGGTTTGACCACCAACTAGCTCTTTTCCAGCCTTGATCCCATGTCAGCTAGCATTTTCCGTCGAGGAGAGTGAGACCTGAATCTTCAAGATGTTATGATACAATTCTCAGTAAGACAATTACATCTGATCAGTGACAAGTACTCGACCAACAATTAAATGATCTTAGTCTGCTTTCTCGAAGCTATGCAGTCAAAATTATTTTTTTTTATTATAGGTTGATTCCACACAGTATTTTCGCACAAGTATGGAATTTTCAGCATGTGATATCAGTAGCCCGAATTTAGCAGACCGACCATTGATATCAGGTGTGCGTCAGCCGAGGATCGAACCTCGAAACATGTGCATAGTCGGCGAGGGTCCTAACCGCTGTGCCACCGAACAATAAATCATGTTCGAAACATCATCTAGTCAATAATACTGTGGCATACAGATCTGGTTGTAGTCATAAGGAGATGATGTATGAATGGTTCCTTTCTTCTCTTTTGTCGAGTGAAACTTCCTGTACATTAAACAGTCCCATTGTAATCTATATGATAAGCAGCTTCGTTGTTAAGTGAAAAATCAATGTAACTTGACAACTGGATAACTAGTGTATTAGAATGAGTGAGGCTGTGTAAAAAGGCTAACAATGTAACTCATCTATCTAGACCTAACTAACAATTTGAGACGTTCTACTTTTTAAAAAAAATCCCGTGTACAAGTAAGTGGAGCACACTTCCCACCAACCTCATAAAAAAACAAAAAAATAAAATCAATATGTAAATGGGATGAAATTACAAGATAAACGCATAAAAGAGAGAGAGGAAACATTTTTTTACATGCCTTTTTGGTAATGTACGGCATAATTGAATAGTGTAAGGATTACATCCACGAATACGTTGTGCACCAAAGCAGATATCATTCATCATCCAAAACTGTAAACTCTAATTAACAATAAAAAAGAATTTCAAGGTAATTAGAAACAGATGTGTAAGAGATAAGAATAATAGATCGTTCTGATTGGTTGACAGTTGGCTCAAGGTTAAATAAATCAGCCAATAGGGTTATTTCATGGCCTCAATATAAATTAAATCCAGATTAGTGGAAGGAAAACACTTCTACCTCTACAACCACCTACTAACTTAAAATGTTGATTCAGTTTTGGCCGCTTCCTACCAGTCTGCATTACGCCACAGATGTACACAATAAATGTTTGAGAAGAGCAACACCCCCTCCCCAAAAAATATTGAGATTACTACGGAAAACCAATGTGTTTTACAAGTTTTATGAGGGAAATAAAAAATAAAACTTTGAGCAAAGCTTAACTGCAGATTAGTACACTAATATAAAAAATTATCCAAATCAGAATTCTTTCGAGAAGTAACAAAAAAACCATAACGATACTTTAGCTACCTAATACGAATATCAACATCCTTTTAATAACTACAGAAGTTCACTTATTCAAATAAAAGTTTGTAAAGTGTTATTCAAAGTTAAAATTCGCATAGTGATAGATAACATTCCTCCTAATGTAATACGATATTTGGTTGATAGGCATTCAAAGTAAAACCTTTGAAAATTAAACTGACGAACACTAGGGACTGGCTACAAAATGAAGTTGCCTGGAATTCTAGTGAGAAGTCGCGAAAAGTGGGGTCCGCTAGGTCGGAAGTGGGGATAAATACTTGCCGATGATATTGACTGATGGTCGGTCACGCTATATGTTAAGTTAGAATTCATCGGCTGGCTATTGGATCGGATCCTAGTAGCTGAATGGTATACGAGCTTGTTCGCCTTGTAACCGGGAGGTCCTGGTTTCGAACCCCGCTGCGTGCATACTGATGATGAGTCCCAAGCACTAGGACGAAACGGCTGTCCAGTACTACCAATTGGTTTTCAATGGTTCTCTAACTGATATCAATCCGTGGTCAAACTTCAAAACAATCGAATCCCTACAAACTAATTTGAAAATCATAACAAAATTAATAAACAAAACCCATAATGTTGCGCTACATGTGACAATTACCAAAATGTGTTCAACAGTCGAAAAATTCACTGTAAATTTCCATAAAATATTGGTCTTTCTGTCCAAATGAAACACAAGTCCTCTTAAACTGTTGTCTGTGAAAGAAAAATGGAGCTGTTTCATCCCAGCGTAATTTGTAAACAATAAGATACAAGGACAGAATCATCTCATGCTATACAGCAGGTAACTGCATCTACACTTTAATTAATATACTTTAATTGTCATGATTTCTCGCCGGAACCTCAGAAAATACATGATTATTAAGCACTGGGTTGACATTCACTTTAATAACTCGTTTCTTTTTCAGGAACCCATATGATGAGGTCATTTTCTTCTCTAATCTCCACATGCTTGTTTTCATATGCAAACTGTTGACACTGACTGACTGTCTCTTCTCTTATGTTCGAACAAAATACTGAGTCACCGAATCTGCACACAACTAAAAAACAACTTACCACAGGTTCAGTGATATTATATTTCTTATAGAAATTCCCAAGTGTATCAAGAGAATTCCACGGTTGTTCACTTGTATATTCTTCAGCCAGACCAGTACGCTCAATAACCTCAAGAACCAAAGGTTCAATATCCCACTAAAAAACTATTAAACAGGTTCACAAGTATTGTGCTTACCCTAGTATCCGATGAGAATAACTCTGAAGACGGGATTTCTTGTAACTAGTAACAAAATGTATGATCAGTTTCTCTAAATAAGCTCACCTCAACAGGTAGACCTTTAGCACGTTGAAAGAAGGTGAAGAATTGCATACGCCTACTAACTTCCTCTTCTCTCAACTCCATAAATGGTTCATACTGAGGAATCCAAGCTTCACAGTCATGTACAACATATTGATGATCAGGACTGATCCATTGGTGAACAGGAAAGAAGAAATACTTCCATTCAGCAGTCATACCAAACCTTCTATCCCGGATAATCACTCTATCCAGAAACCAAGCAGGTGGAGGAAACGACTGAGTTGTACACCAAAATTCAATATGATGCAATCGTTTGAACACCTATAGTGTTTACAACAGTTGCCTAGATACCAATAATGACCTACTTTTAAACGACTCCAAGACTGTAAATCTATTGTAAACTTTGCTTGTGTATAGTCGATGTCATTTTGAAAAATATTATCCAGTGTAATTGTCGGTGACTGATTCCCACAGTGGTCAAACATAACCATATTGACTCCAGGACCAAGTTCATCACCACTGTAATCACCGCTGACAACACACACTTCAAATGCTATTTTAGTAGATGTCCCTCCCATAGGTGTAAATGCAATCCTTTATATCATAACGAAATACTCTTGGAAAAAACCTATAAAAAGAGTGAAAAAGTAATTACTTCTACTTGTTTTTACTATGAGAAAAAGATGACAAGATAGTTAATGAGTGAGAATTCGTTCAATTACTTCAATAAGAAGTCTTATCATAAAGATTAGCGGTTTATATCACATTTCTCTGAATAAATTACGAGTGGTGTTACTTAGCAACCACCTACAATAAGTTGTGATGGTCTAAAAGTCAAACTGAATTCAAACTCAAGCTTACAGTGATGAAGTGAGGTTTAAATGTGACCTACTTAATGAGTAAAACGTGTACTCTGACAGATCTATACAAAGTCTTCTGATTGATGACCATTTGCTATTATCTTAAGCATATTTAGTTACCTATGGCCATTCAGTAGAAAATATCGCGTACCATCAGCCCCAACGGGTTGGTCTCTGACGAAATCTCAGCACGGATACATAGGGCTAGTTTCACATATGCCAGTTTACGCCGTCTCTGGCGTAGACGTGATATCCGACTATCGACCAAAGGGCGTGTGTACTGCTCAACAGTCCGCTCCGTCCTCCTTTATGGCTGTGAGACCTGGCCATTGAGAGTGGAAGACATGAAAAGATTAGCTGTCTTTGATCATAGGTGTCTGCGTTCTATCTCCCGTGTGAAGTGGTATAATAAGGTGAGCAATATTGAAGTTAGGCGTCGGTCGAGTGCTAGGTAAGGCGGGGAAATCAGTCGACGAGACTGTGAAATTACATCGACTGAGATGGTTAGGACATGTGTTACGTATGCCTAGTCATCGCCTTCCTCGACGGGCAATGTTAGCTGATATAGGGCCAGGCTGGAAAAGAGCTAGCGGTGGTCAAACGAAAACATGGCACCAGTCAATAAAATCTACAACAGTTAGTCTAAGCCACGTAGGAAGATGTAGACTTCCTGGTTGGGGGTCCTCGGGACGGTAAAAACCAATGGTTGGAAACAATTGGTGATATGGCTCAAAATCGTTCTCAATGACTGGCGCAGATGCATCTACTCCTTGTGACTTATGATTTCCAATGAAACTGTTTTGTTCTTCGTTATTACTATTCCTTTGTCTCACACCTCTGTTTACTGTCTCTAATATGCATTTCTCCTACTTTCTTCTCTCGCTTTGTGTGCTACATGGAGTGTGGCGACTTGAACTGCCGCACATATGTGCAAAGTTCTATGTCGAAAGCAGACAGACAGACATTGCGTAAACTGCCAGCAATTTTTTCTTACCACAATGTTTAGTAGTTGGAGGAAATCGACAGAAAGCCATGAGTCTATGTTTCCTGCTGGCGATATGTAAATGCAATGTCAGGAATGCGAATTCAAACAATTTTAAAACGGTGTTAGGAGCACGTCATAACTCTTGGTCTCAGGGTGGAAAAGAGCTAGTGGTGGTCAAACTAAAACATGGCTTCATCAGTCAATGAAATCCACATCATTAAGTTTAAGCCAGTCACGTAGGGAGGTGTAGACTTCCTGATTGGGGTCCTCGGGCCGGTAAAAATCAATGAAGGCTGGAGGCAATTGATGATGTGGCTCAAAACCGTTCTCAATGGCTGGTGAAGATGCATCCACTCCTTGTGATTTATAATATCCAATAAAACTATATTGTTCTTCGATATTACTATTCTTTTTGCCTTAAATCTATGTTTACTGTCTCTGTTTTGCATTTCTTTTTACTTTCTTCTCTGGCTTTGTGCGCTGAGTGAAGTGTGGCGACTGGAACTGCTGCACATCGGTGCAAAGTTCTATGTTGAAACCAGTCAGTCAGTCTTGGTCTCAAGCCCTTGATTTTCAAAAGACACAGCTGAACTTCATGCACAATTAAACATGATACAAATGTAGGTATGCTCTTAGAAAACAGCTGTGCTAGGACCACGTGACTGTTGGAAATCAAAAGCAAACATTTATGTAATTTGTATGAAATATATGATGATCACGTTTCAAAGATGCCAGAGACCAAATTGTCAACCAATGAGATTACAGGCAGAGTCCACATGACGCAAATGTGTTCAACTTTGTTTGATTCATATTAAGTGTACAGAAAACTTTTTGAAGTGTTTTTTGAAGAACTAGATCCAATAAATCAAGTACACAATTCACTAAAACACCATTTATATTCATCCACTTCGATTAGTCTCAATATAATACTAGATATTTTAAGAGTTATATGTTACATTTGCGTTAGTCATGGGTCTTAATGGATAATGCGATAGACAGCGGGCAGCGAGGAAACAGGCATAAAATGGACCCACACAAAAAAGAACTTGAAGGATCTGGACTTCGCCGATGATATTTGTCTGATTTCCCACAATCTGGAAGACATGCAAGTGAAAAGCAACAAGTTGGCAGAAGAAGCATCCAGAGGAGATAGGACTTCCTTCAGGTGAACATAGAGAAAACAGAGGTGATGAAGATTCCTGGCCAACAGCAACAACAACAGACAAAAGTCAGTCAGCATAAATAGGAGGAATCTGTTAGAAGAAACCTCCTTCACCTACCTACCTGGGAAGCATCGTTTCAACTACAGGCGGACGGAACTGATGAGGATATCATAGCGAGGATCGGGAAAGCAAGGCAAGCTTTCATTACTCTCAAGTCTGTGTGGAGGTCAACAGCACTCAGCAGGAACCGATTGTGCAACAAATATGCAAGAAGAAATGAAGGTGGATTGGTCATACTCTGAGAAAACAAATCATCAAGTGACATCACACGATAGGCCATCACTCGAGTGGAACCCGAATGGAAGTGGCGAGTTGTTCGTCGGTGTGAGGGTTACATGGAGGAGGTGATGTAAACAGGAGATGAAATCATGTCGGCAGACATGAAGGCAGGTGAAAACGTTGGCAGAGAACCGAACGCAATGGAGACGTGCAGCTGAAGCCCTATTTTCCTCTAGGAACTAAAGGAAACATTAATAATATAGTGGGTCTTAATCCATCCTTTTTTAGATTTGAAAAAGTTGTTACAGTCAATCAGATTAGATTTAACAAGATATTGAGGCTGGTGTGTAATCCCGATTTGGCCTAATTACCTGTTCTTATTCCTATTATTTGGTGAGTGGATTTCAGCCGTCTTATTTATTTGATATTTCTACATTTACTTTTACAATATTCAGTGTTTTTTTATACTTTTCTTTTTGGAAAGATTGTTCTGCATTAGTCATTAAATCTCTTGAATCCTCTTTCAGGTAACTGATTTCCTATAATCCGACCCACTAAAGTGTAATGTTAATTTCTTTTCAAAACATAAAATTGTAAGTCTTGATTTCCTTAGTTTAATGCCTTACCTTTCTATTTGAATCTTCATTCAGATCAATTAATGCGGACGACATCAATTAGCCAACATTTTGAACTTATAACTTGATGGGACTAATTAATGTGTTACAGTTTTAAAACTACATGTTTTAGACTCTAGAAAGCTGCCTTAAACACGTGAAACTCAGATGTGGCTTACAGACTAATACTTGCATTCTAAGGTAAGTTGGATTCCATTCAGTGAACAATCTTCCTGGGGTTTCTGAGTGACTGAGAGCGATTTTCAACTATGTCACCCACAGTCTCCAGCCACTGATCCTAAGAGTTTCGAATGCCTCAACCAGTCTTCATATTTCTACGTGACCCGAACCAACACTCAAAGACTTCATGGGTTGATACCACGTTTTGATTTGACTAACCCTAACTCTTTTTCAATCTAATCTTATATCATCTCACTGACAAAGCACAAAGCAAGAGAAGAGACCACAGAGATACACAAAAGAGAGATAATAAACAGAAGTGTAAGGGAAAGAGAAGAGTAATATGGAAGAACAGTAGATTTCCATTGTATATGACAAATCACAAAGAGTGAATGCATCTGCGCCATTGACAACGATGAGTTTGAGCCATATCACCGATTGTCTCCAGCCGCCATTGGTTCTTGTCATTCAGAAGACCCTAACCAGGAAATCTACACCACCCTACGTCGCTGGCTTAAACTGACTGTTGTGGACCTCATTGACTGATGAAGTCATGTTTTAGTTTGACCATCACTAGCTATTTTTCAACCCGATCCTAAATCAGCTAGCATTATCCATCGAGAAAGGCGATGGCTGGTGATGCGTAACACATGTCCTAACCATCGCATCTAAAATTACTCTATGAGAAGGGTTATAGTTTGATATGTGTAACAATCTCAGTATCAAAACTCTTTAATGCAGTGGGAATCCAACCTGGGGCCCAATAGTTGATCGCCAAGCCAAGCATATTTGTTTTCTTTCAGAAATGCCCCCCTTCAGTGTTATAGATAGATACTGACGCCCATAAAATGAAGAACTAAGCAAAACTAAAAGTGAATCTCGATTATCAGAGATTACAAATAGTGAAGTACAACATCCTGGCTTCATGCTATGGTACCTGTAGTCTAAACACAGTTTTAACATGATGCCCACACTACAATAGACGAACTGTATGGAAGTACTACTGTTATAAACTAATGGAACTGGCGTTTGTGTTTTTTCACTGATATAGTCGTATATGCTACATGATCCTCTTAAAGTAGTACATTTTTCCCTCTTATTTCGCTAACCTGGATAAATTATCGATTATCTAGATGACGATAACTAGAGTCAATGATGAAATTAAGAAACAGATTCTGAAACTATACTGGTGGTAAGGAAAACCCATAGATCACAATACATAGAAGCTAAAGAAACAAACCAAAAACACTTATAACTTTTAAAAATGGAAGTATTTGTAAATAAGTATAAATCAACTGATAAGTCCATCACACTTTTAATGAGCGACACCTGGGCCATGCAAAACATAAGAAGAATAAACTAATGTGCTACTACCATGTGAGCAACAACGAAGACATTCTGGGCAGCCACGAAAAATTTTGGACGCAACTCGGGATGTAGGACATGTTTAACCGAAGTTGTTAATGCGTTTCACTGCGCCCAAATATTTTGGAAACTGACCATATTTATATGGTATCTTATGATTCCTATGTATAAATATATATTTATACTGTCTCCCTAATTTTAAAAGAAATAAGTCCAAAACTTTCGAAGCAACAGAAACAAACGTACAAATTCGAGCATTACCCAAAGCGTTCGCAGCGCACGCGAGGATTTCGATGGTCAGGTGTAGTCACATAGACGTATCAAAATACACACAAGATTGACTTGATGGTACATTTTCTACATAAATGACTTTGCATTCATACGTTTGAAGTGCATTATTTCACCATCTCTTTTAATTGTTAGATTATCTGAAGCCGACTCAGTCACATTAATATTCGAGTATTTTATTTTTGGACTAATTTAAAACAAATAATAAGAACCTTATGTAGTGACACTTAACAATATATAACCGTGAAAATGCATAAAAACCATCCGGAAAGCACTCAGCTGCATCATAAACAGGTATTAGTGTCATACTATATAATTCGCACCTGTATCTTGGTGTTTATACAATTATAACGTTCTGCTTTATTGAATAAAATAAAGTGAAACAACGTAATGAAATTAGAACGACTAATAATCGGAAGGTCCACCCACCAAAGTGAAATATTTAAAAGTGCGACAACCTTAGCACTAAACAGTACAATGAATTTGAAGAATGATAACCTAGAAAACTCTGAAATCTCAAAACGAATGAGCCCACTGTCAGCTTGTATTAAAATTGAAAATTTGTTCAAATTTAACTGTTTTTATACATAAATCAGTGCGTGCAACTTTTTTTCTTCCTTCACGTTCCCCAGTGGAACATAGGGCTTCAAGCTAGTGGCTTGAAGTTTCTGTAGCAGTGTTTATTTCACAGGATGGGGTTGCTAGCCTCATGCCCAACCTTTCCTCTTCACCAGCATTGTTTCTGGCTTAGCGAGGTAAAGGAGTGCGTCAGCCGGGGTTCGAACCCCGGACCATGCGCATGGTCGGCGAGCGTCCTAACCGCTATGCCACCGACGAGTTGGAGAAAATTCACAAATTTCAGATTTTTGCTCGGTGGTATGAATTGTGGAGCCTATATTAATCCTCTGCTTAAAACAGTCCGTATTTGAGCATTGCTCCCTTGAATAGTGAGTCTACTTAAGGCTCATATACCATTTCTTTGTGGATTTGGTTCTGAGGGTTAATGACTCAATACCCCATAGCGACGCTGCACTTCCTTGCTTTGTTTTCTCTGCAACCGTTTCCTATTAGCTTATTTGATCTAATGAGAAAGAAGGGAGATTCTGGGTAATATTCATGGTCATTCCCTGAGACTTCTCATATCATGATCAGACTCAGTCTTACAAGTTGAAGATGAAAACTCCACGTCTCGAGTAATAATGTACTGAATGAGATATCCCAAATATTTGCAGAATAGTAGAGGCTGCAATGTAAATCAAACCTGAAACGTTATTCGGAAACACTGAAAATAAGCTGAGATACCTGAAACGTCCATGAAATCGAAAGGCGTTAATGAAATGCATTTGTGAGTATTAACCATTTAATGAATCACAGCCCTGAAGAATTGTGATGGTGTCACTTAATTTCAGATTCTGCAGGCTGAATTTTTAGCATCGTGCTTGAGGGCCTGGCAGTAGCCAACAACGCCTACCATAGAACAATAGCACGGATTTTTCTGATCCATAGGTTGAAGCTTGTGGTGCTGCAGCATACCAAGCAGACTGACAGTTGAGAATCTTAGCGTACTGAATTACAGACATTGTGACCTGTAGTAATCACTCTTCAAGCATAAAACTCAGTCGCTCACTCAGGCAAACCTATGATAACATTCACCTCCGCTTCTCTAACATATGCTTTACGAGTTGACTGCAACAATATTCGCGAATCTACTCGGCGTCAGAAGCTGTCTACGCCACTATTTACACTTCCAAACATGTACTTTTTCTTATATCCATGGCTTCTAATGCTAAGAAAGTGTCATGGAGTTCATTTCGAGTGCATGGTTATCAATAAATTAATCCCTGAATGTTTTTTCCATGACCAAATATTCTATCCTTTTCAAATTCGGATTTTTCCTTCGTAATACCCTAATCCCATTTGTTCGGTCGTATTTTTTCGGCATTTCCATATTGCTCATCGAAAATAGTGCCCGCAGTCAAGGATGCCTCATCTAAGCTGTAGATAAAAATCGAAATCTCCTTAGCTAGTATCACGACAGGAGTGCCCAACCTTACGAGATTGGTACGTTTAGCAGTTGTGTCCATAATATACATCGTATGACCTTCGTTTGCCTCAGTAATGCAAGTCAGTACTAGATATTTTACGATGTTCTGCCAGTCTTAAGTGTTACAACAATATGCAAAGAAAGTAACGTCCAATAACAGTTGGTTATGTATACTCGATGTGTAGTGATACGGCCTTTAAGACTTGAGGTGATTGTCAAGTTCTGTATCTTAACAAAAGCAAACACAGTATTTAGTTGAAAAATTTTCAACTGAATACTGCTGTCTTTAAACGTTTTATTTAATGAGCCCATATACAGATAATCAGTGCACTCATTACATGAGAATAAATTCTGAGAACTGGTTGCTGTAATTTGGGTAATGATTCTTGTCACATATCTCTGTAGATTTAATTCCCTAGACTTTCAATCTGTGTTAATAACATGGATGAAGAAGAAAGTAACTTCATTATTTGGCATACGGGAAATAAATTTCTCTGTTAATTATAAACTACCCTATTACTCCAGTGCACTGCATTTATCGATTGTCTTTATCAGAGGAAACTGGGTTTTCTTTTAGGAAACCAGGTAGTTTGGCTGCTCGCATGATTTTCAATTTGTCTTAAGTTGGATTCAACTAGATATGATGCTCATGATTGATGTGTGGTGAGAGATGGCTGCTAGCCAAATTGGTAGACAGTAATTGACGTCAATGTTTATGTCTCAAATATTAGTCATGTGAAAACAAGGTCAAAGATGGACAGCAGACTTTGCGTAAGTGGATACAGTTAGCACATAGATGATCTGACACAGCCACAAAGAGATGTAAGGTTAACTTTCTGTGAGAAACAACCAATCAAAAGACCGTTTTTTCTACTAACAATAATCTACAATAATGTACATTAAAATCTATAAATATGTGTTGATTTTCCTAATAAATGATCTGTTGCCTGACTCTTGCCTTCTGTCGTTATAGTTGGTGTCGCTGGCTCCGAACAATGAAGATCCCATGGCCAACTACGTTTGAAGAAGGAGACATACGGAGCTTCTTACGTGACTTCGAGGTCGTTGCTGAGTTGGTGGGCGTCAAAGAGCAGGCGGCGAAGGCGGTTGTGCTGGGGACGCTGTTGAGAGGCCGAGCGAAGGCTGCAAATGATAGCGTAGAGAGGTCAGATGGCACAGCGTCTTGGAAGACATTGGTTCACATTGGTGTCGCAGTTCGACAGTCCAACAGACAGACAGCTTGCAATGCGGCAGTTCCATTCAACGAAACCCGGACTTGATGGAGATCTGTCAGTGTTGGCGGTGAGATTGACGAATCTACTTCGACGCGCGCTTCGTACTTTGGATGAAGAATGAGAGGCGCAGTCTCTGAGTTCCCAGCTCACCGAGAGTGTTCCAGACCACATTTCTCAACAAGTACGACTGGTTAACGCTACGCAGCCGATGGATATTAATGATCTGGCGAAGGTGGCCAGACAGCTGCTGAGCACAACTGTAGCTACCATAGGGCAACCAAAACCAAACGAATTCGAGCAGAAAATTGAAGCGTTGCAGCGGGAATTGGTGGCGTTAAAGTTGGGTGACAGGAAAGACGAGTGTTTTGAATGCGGTAAGCCTGGACACTTGAGGAGATACTGCCCAGAAAGGTGAAAAAGGAAGAGTTTCAGACGGTATAATACGTGTTCTTTCTCTCGTATAAAACTAGGTGTGGTGGGGGCTATCGAGAAAGGGGCTGTGTATTCGAAGTTGCGAGTGAATGATCAAGAAGTAGTATGTTTAGTAGATACGGGGGCGGCTGTGTCCCTCATAGATAAGAACTTATGTACGAGTGTTAGTCCGTGTTCATTGACAGTACAAAGGGTAGGTGGGCACGTATTACGTATCGCGGGTAGATCGAACTATACGGTCGTGGTTGGCAGCTACGAGGTGACCTTCCCCTTCATTGTTGTGCCCGAATTACGACGGACGATACTTGGCGCGCATTTTCTGCGGGAGATTGGTGCGATAATCGACACGCAAGCGAAGGTTGTGATCACGAAATACGGACGTATCAGCATGTATGAGACCAGCGAGATAGCAGCGGTTAAGCTGTCGAAGGTACACAATATGAGAGTTAATTAACAAATAGGATCATCTGTGTACTGGAGATGGAGACCCATACGGTTATTCCGTTAACTGGTCCGAAAGTAACGTCATTTACCAGGCGAAGAGTTCCATGTCATTTGGAAAGTGAAGTTGCGCGACAAGTGCGAGAGATGCTAAAAGATGATATTATTGAAGAAGCTGATAGCCCGTACAACTCTCCAGTGCTGTTAGTAAAAAAGGCGAATGGGAAGTATAGATTCTGCGTTGATTTTCGACAGTTAAACATTATGACAGAATTAAGACCATGTGCCATGCCAACACTAGTAGAAACTTTAGATCGCCTACAAGGCGCAAATTTGTTTTCGGTTCTCGATCTTTGCTCAGGATACTGGCAGATACCGATAAAGCCAGGTGATAGAGATAAGACGGCATTCATCGTGGGTCAGACACAATATCGATTTAAACGCATGCCGTTTGTACTAGCAGGTGCACCGTTTACATTCAGACGACTGATGACGCTATTACTTAAGAACTTGAAAAACGTGGAGGTGTACAGTGATGATCTCGTAATATATAGTCAAAACGAAAACGATCATCTGAACCGTGTGGAAGCCATGCTGCGACGCATCGAAGAGTTTGGACTGCGCGTCAACAAAACCAAGCCTCAGATAGCCGAAAAGAATGTGACTCTTTTGGGGACATAAAGTGGGAATTGGTGAGATTAAACCACTACCGGAGAATTCAAAGAGAAAATTGAGACAATTCTTAGGTAGAGCAGCGTTTTATGGTCGCTTCGTGAAGAACTTCAATGAGATAGCGGCCCCTCTGTACAGGCTACTAGGTGAACCGAAGTTTGTTTGGTCGGAGGAATCGCAGAAGACATTCGACAGGGTTAAACAGCTGCTCGACCACCAACAAATGACACTAAAGCTACCTGTACCTGGAAGACAGTTCACAGTGTGCACAGATGCCAGTGACTACGCCATTGGTGTGGTCCCAAGACAGGGAGAGGGAATCGTTGAGTATGCCAGTCGGGTTTCGACACACACAGGGAGAAAGTATTCAACGATAGAGAAAGAATTTTTAGCGATGGTATGGACAGTCGACAAATGGAGACCTTATTTACTCGGCCGGCGGTTCCACATCGAAACGGATCATAAGCCGCTACAGTTTTTGAAGACAGCGAGAGACGCACGAGGGAAATTGTCACAGACAGAGAGATCGACTAAGAGTGAATGGCTACGGGACTCTGACCTGGCGAGAGAACGACGGAAGCTGGCTAGCCGTCATACCTCAATCGTCGCGCCACGACATG